AAACGGGAAAATAGACCAAGATTTTACCGCGCGCGTGTTATGTTCCATTCGAAAAATGATAAATGTCGATCAATATGGAAAAAGGTGCTTCAGCTACAGTGGTGCAGTACTTTGGAACAATCTTCCTTATGAGGCAATAAGCTCCTTTAAAGCGATTTTGAAACAAACGATGAGTTGAAGCCGGCTCGTTTATTTCTATCTTTTGTCTTCTGGTTGCATGATGTTGTGCTGTAAATTGTCACTCATTTACACGCCCCTCGTGGAAATCAGTTAACAGTTGATGAGGCTAGCGTGTTAAAATAAAGTCTATGTATGTATACAGTATGTATGTATGTACAACATGCAAGGCGTGGTGGGGTTTCGGCGCAAGGGGCTTCGGTGGTGCAGTTTCTCTACGGACTCATGTGAAACGAATCTGTCAACGTTCTGCGTGGGTTTTCTCCGGGCGCTCCGGTTTCCTTCCACAGGGCAAGTTGGCAGACACAGTACTTGCTGTATAGCCAAGAATTTTACTGTTTTTGCTGTTTTGTACGTTGTTGATATTCGTGTTGTTTTTGTATTTTTATGTACAGATTACTAGGACTGCAATTAGTTCAATTCTTGCTGCTGCTCCAGCTAGGTCAGGTCTAAAATTCTATTAAATTTTTCTTCGATATTTCCATCTACAAAACCCCATCAACATATAAATTATACAGCCGGTAGCAACAGGGTTTGAGATCGGATTTTTTTCCTGGAATCCGGCATTGTGGATTCCAGCATTTCTTAATCTGGTATCCAAGCTGAAAATCTGGCACTCAAATTCTCAAAATAAAACATGCTTTCAGTGTGTTATATTATTCAGTTGCCATGAACTCAAAAGTTCACTTGATGTTAATGGCAACATTAACTACTATATGTCTTCAACTTTTGTAATTGTCTTGATTATTAAAAATGGCTTAAGTAGGCAAGACCCTCATGGGTATCCAAATTGAATAGCAATTGTTTGATATCTGTTATCCAAAATTCGAAACTGGTATCGTCAAAATACCAGCTGAGGATAATGCAAATCTCGAACCCTGGGTAGCAATTATATAAAACGTGCGTCGGGTTAGATTTACGATGTTTTTTAACTTAATGGTGATCTAGGTCCTAGGATCTCAGACTTTCCTATTTTCTTGTAGTACCACAAAAACACTCGGCTTTCTCAATGACAATAAACCAACTGAATCACTGTAGAAAAGATTGATAAGAAAGCAAGGATGGCAGATGCCACCCGTAGCATTGAGTTAAGATTGCAACTGTCCTTGCTACAGAATAAAGACACACAGAAGGTCGACTCAGCAAAAAAAGCGTAACCGCTGCCACGCCATGATTCGTCATCAAAATGCTGACGTCATGGTCCTAGCCAGTGCGCTTATGAGAGGCATCCCCCCCCTGGACGTCCGCCACTTTGAATATTATCAGGGGGTGAATGCCTCTCGTAAGCGCACTGGCTAGGACCATGGCGTCAGCATTTTGATGACGAATTACGGTTACGCCAAAATCATAGGAAAACCAAGAAGTCCAGCTTCTGTATAGTCTCTCTGTGACCTTGCTCTGACTTGATGTGCTTGACAGCTTGTGTATGTTGTGGTTGGTTCTCTCTTCTGCTTCGAGAGTTTTTCTCTGGGTTCTCCAGTTTTCCTCCCTTACTAAAAACGAACCCTTCGTTCCTAACAAAGGCTACTTTCCACTTTTCATACGTACAGTACACACACGCACGGAAAAGTTGAAATCTTTCTAAATTTCATGAAAATACTGATTACCTCGACAAGTACACTTTAATCATACCCAAAATTAAATTATGTCCTTTTATTCATTGCTGCGGAGCGAGCGAGCCTGAAGCGAGCGAGCGTAGCAGCAGCCTAATATATGCAGAGAGGGGGTTTTGAACTAAATTTTATTAAGCGCATGGAATTGGGTCGTGCGCGCTTTCTATGCGCAGAACACAAATTTTAAACTCGCTCGAGTCTTCGAATTTTTATCGAATTTCTAAAGCTTTTTCAAGTCTAATGTTACGCAACTTACGCTTAGATTTGTTTTGGACTTTGGTACTGTCAGTTCTATATTTTTATCAAGTTTTGGTTTCTTAGTGTGATAAATCTGTGTATATATAGTCTATACTAGGTTACCCACAGGGCAGTAATGCTGCCTTTGACAGCAAAAGACAAACTACAGGGTGTTGAACGAGTCCTTCAGAAACATCCTATTATTGTTATCCTAGCCTGCGTAGCGGCTCTCAGAGAAAATTGTTATCCTTGTTAACCCATTTATTGACAGCACGGCCCTACCACTGACTGAGTATTAAAAATCGTCTGGCGTTGGACAGGGTAAATACTAAAGTCATTACTGTGCTGATGGATTAACAAGAGCCATTGGCAGATAGGTTTGTTAACCCATTTACTGGCAGTGCCCTGTACCACTGACGAGTAAAATTTTCTGGCGCTGGACAAGGGAAGGGCGCATTGCCAGCTAATGGGTTAAACCACCGTGGTTAAGTAAGATTTGATGCTCCAGGAAATGTAAACAAACTATCAGTGTGACATCCCAGTTTATATATTTATATACTCGGAATATTGATTTCTTGGTAAATACAAAATTATTTTAAAGTATAACAACCAGCGAAGACGTAAGCCACTAACTACCCTGCGCGGCTGCGCGCAGACTATATAATCACATATATATGTTATCCGTCCGGTCCGTCCGTCGCCATCCGTCCGTCCGTCCGTCATTCATCCGTCCGTCCGTATCCGCGTTTTATCCTAACTCGTTTTTAAAACACAAAGTTTGCATAATTAAGGCAGTGCGGTTCGTCATGATCAACATTTTCAAAAGCGGCCAATTAGACCAGGGGTTAAAGGGCAATGACAATGACATGCAGGTGACATTTAACATTGCGTCTCACTAATTAAAATTTGCGTGTTTATTAATAATGTTTATCAAAGAAAGCAAAAATATATACAAGACAATCTCACATGTGAAATTTTTCACTTACTTACTGCCTTGTGATGCAGTACAAGTATAAACACCAAATGACAAAGCATTTGTAAATCCTAAAACATAATTAAATCATACGGCACATTCAAGATTTTAAGATCGTATTTCAGCCGCGCGTTGTTTATACTGCTTGGCGCATTCGCTGCGTTATATTCATTTATATACACAGAAAAGCATGTCATTGTCTTTGCGGACCATAGGCAAAAAGCATTCGTTAAATCATATACATGTCATGGAAAGAATATGAAAATAATGTTGAATGAAAGCTAGCATCGCGTATAATGTTAAAAGCACCGCATATAGTGCTCGAACCACTGCGTATAATTGCAAAAGCACCTCGTATATAAATGGTGAAAGCACCGCGTATAATGCTGGAACCACAGCGTATAATGCGGGAACCACCGCGTATAATGGCGAAAGCACCGTGTATAATGCCGAAAGCACCGCCGTATAATGCTAAAAGCACCCAACAAAATGCCGTTTGATCACTTTAAGCCAGCTATGGCTTTCCATAAAAGAAGACCAAAGATGAAAGATGATCACATTGCCTGTTTGCCTTATGCCTTGACCGCGCTGCACCACGGTTAAAATTCACTGGTACCGTCATGCAATGCGCCAAATAGAAAATTTTGATATCGACCCACAAAACAAAATTAGGATCTGCTGCCTTGCTCGCTTGCTTCAGGCTCGCTCGCTGCGGCAGCAATGAAAACACATCCTATTATGCATGAATCATTGTATGCGATATTGCAGTTGCAGCTACTGACATACGGTATCTATATATTTTTAGGTCTGTATTATCATAGCTAAAATCCAACAAGCCTTATTTCTGCGCGAATTGCACTGACTAGAACTGGCCATGCAGCCAAATAGAATGTATAGCTATATATCAAGAGAACGCAAACAGTACGCGAAGTCTTTTTGTTTTAAAATCGGTTTGCAAACGTCAAAGCTAGCGCAAATTTGTGTTTATATTATAAAGACCAATTTAGTGGAGACTCTCGTGTTCAGAAAGATGCAGTCATCTTTTGCTGACAGGTTAAGAAGATGTAGTCATCTTTGCTTAATCAGTTGAACCTAATTCTTTATAATATAATATAATATAATATAATAACACATCCTATTATGCATGAATCATTGTATATGATATTGCGTTTGCAGTTACATACGGTAGCTATATATTTTTAGGTCTGTATTATCATAGTTATAATTCAACAAGCCTTATGGCCGCGATTATTGATGAACTTTATACTTCGCTAATACTATTCTTTCTAGGGCGGAAATAGCCGAGCAGAATCGGTACCTTCGCCCCGGGCTTATACGCCCGGAACGGCGATTTGCTTCATTCACTTACTAGGGATAACGTAAATCAATCGAGGCAAATAAAGTATACATACTTAATTAAACCAATCAAACATGAAAATATTTTCTGATAATAATCAAGTTTTAGACGTGTTTGACCGGAGAGGGACTTCGCGTGACTGCACTTCTTTACTATATATGCTGACAGTTCAAAAGCATAGTTCAAACCTGTTGCATGTGATAACTGATAAACTAACATGCATTTAGTATTAATTGAAACTTTCTTTTTGTTGCGCATACACATGTTTCTGATATATAATCGGACTTTTTATGAGAAAATTTGAACTATTGATAAAAAATAACGTGCTGTGTGTTTTATATCCTCTGTAGAGAGGATGAGATAGACTTTCGTGTAACTTTGTCTTTTAATTTGTTTGTATGGCTTACTAAACTGCTTCAAACTTAATTGCTTGAAGTGCATAATATATGTTTTTTCTTTATTTTAAGCACCTTCTAAAGGACCTGTTATCACATATATTATTGCTGAAAGCTCAACGTCGCTCAGAATTAACTGGAAGGAATTAAGTGATGATGATGCCAATGGTGTCATAACTGGATATCGTATTTGCTACAAACCCGTAGAGTCGTCTGAAGATATCTGCAAGTTTGCAGGTTGGGAAACCATGAGTAATGTTCGTCGTTTTACTCTATCTAACTTGAAGAAATACACGAGCTATATAGTCGCAGTCCAAGCTGCCACTAAGATTGGATTGGGACCGGTTGGATCAAATAGGACATGGCAAACAAAGGAAGATAGTAAGTATTATATATTGTTCAATTTCCTGCTTCATATATAGGTGTACAATATTTTATTATATATAACAGTCTTATTGTCGGGTTTTAATAACGAAATAAAAAAATAAAAAAATAAATAAAAAGTTAAAAATTTAAGTTATTAAAATTTAAAATTTTCTGTTCAGATAAATGAATAAACAAATCTTGGTTAGAATCGAAGCCAAAAATACCGAATTTGCACTGAAAAAATTGAAAGCGCCATTATACACGAAATTTTCTACGAACAAAGTTTTAATACGTCGACAGATTAATCGTTAGACTTTCTTAAAGTCCTTTCCTGTTCTTTTTTCGCGATTCGTAAATCGACTTGTGGTCAAGTCTAATCAAAGGCCACCACAGCAATCTTGGTATATCATTCTAATCTTCTAAATATAACCACTATCAATCCCCAGTGGTAGTTATTTGCACACATATAACCTGTGGGTTCCCGCAATGGTGTTAATGTAACCATTGTGGTGCACATTTCGAAAATTAATTTTGTGAGTCACCAAACTTCAAATAATGCGCGAGGCATTGAGAAAAAATATGACACTCGCGTGTTGGTCGAATTCGCTACATTTTATGCCAAATGTCATTAATTGAAATTTTCATTGTTTGCGCTCATGATTTGATATGGTTTGGAGAAACCCCCTTCCGAAATTAGAATAATTTTATAGGAAAATTTTAACTATTGATAAAAATTAATGGTTAACTACATGTAACTCTGTCTTGTAATTTGAATTATTTTATTACCTACTACACTGGATTCCAGACGCACAGAGCCTTCAGCAGTGGCGTAACGTTAAAGCAAGGGGCCCCCGGTTCAAAATTTCCGAAGGCCCCCTAGTCGAAGTGCCAAAGGCACGAGTCGAGTGCCATATATGCACAAGTTTTCTAGGCGGTCAAGCGCGTGCTCATCCGGAAAATTTTTGAATCTAGACTCTCTGAAATCCCATTTCCTGGACTTTGGGGAGAGATTTTACAGAATTCTGATGGTCAGAAAACGACATTGCAACATATCAGAGGCCCTGGCCAATGTTTTTGCTCTATCGCCCAAGCCTGGCGGCCCTCATCGCCGGTTGGGCCCCCCGGGTTCTCCCGGTCTGGGCCCATAGTAGTTAGTTATTAAATAATAAATTGAAACGTCGCGAAGGCTCTGGTTCTACGGGAGGATTCTTTTCCAATCACAAGACAGTATTAGTGGTTTCAGTACAGAACCTGTACTGAAACCACTAATTCTGTTTTGTAATTGGCGCCGTTAAATCAAAGAATTCTCCCGTTGGACCAGATCATTCGCGACGTTTCAATTTATTATTTACCTCTGGAATCCAGGGTAATCACCTACTAAACTATTTTTAACTTCATTGCTTGAGGTGATTGTCACGGGACTGATGCATAATGTATAATGTTTTTCTTTATTTCAAGTACCTGCTAAAGGGCCTGTTATCACAAGTATTTTTGCTGAAAGCTCAACGTCGTTCAGAATTGCCTGGAAGGGATTGAGTGATGGTAATGCAAATGGTGCGATAATAGGATATCGTGTTTGCTACAAACTTGTAGAAACTTCTGTGAATATCTGCAATTCCGTTGGTAATATTCTTCATACAACGCTGTTTAACTTGGAAAAGTACACGAGCTATGCAGTTGCAGTCCAAGCTGCCACTAAGATTGGTTTCGGGCCGCTTGGAGCAAAAGTAACCAAGCGAACAAAGGAAGATAGTAAGTATTTCGTACTATTTAAGTTTCTACTTGATAGATGTACAATATTTTGGTTTTATAATAGCTTTTTACAACGGTCTCATTCTCAGGCTGCCGTTTCCTTTAACATTTAAATTGATCAAACCATCAATTTGTTTTTTTTGGCCAATGAATGGTCCATGAAACACGTTGATAGCCTGTATGCACTCATTACATGTAGGATATTTATGAACATGATTAAGGTAGAAAGGTATAGAACGCGAATTGCATGATGGGACAGAACATATGCTTAAGAGAAGTCTGCGCGAATTATTGAGAAAAACATATTTTATATGTTGAGTTTTTGTTATGAAAGTTATCTATTCAAACACTTTCCACCCAGTGTGAGTTGAGAAATAATTATATTAAAATACATGACTTAACTACTACACAACATTCCTATTAAAAGAATCAACATTCAATATAAGAAAATAACATATTTAAGGTGAATTCAAAATGAAATA